CCGCTCTCCTCGCTTTCGGCTACTTTTAACGCCGATTTTTCCGCTGCGCATGACGAATCATGCCACAACCAACGCTTTCATTCCATTCCATCTATGTCGTACCATGAATTTGATCCCCACGGAAATCGAAATCGCCCGCTGGGGTCAGTCGGTTTTATCGAAGTCAAGCAAAATCAATTCCTTTCTAATTTTGTTTTACCGTGAGTTCGCCTGTAAAATACCTTCACATATAACCAAAGTATTATGCTGTGATAATAATAAATACCTTCATTGCATGTAACATCGATGTCATCATGTTTTGTTATGATAGCAAAGTAGGGGTAAACAGAAACGAGATTCCATTCGAACCCCATTCATCGACAAAGTCGCCATGTCGTCTGTCGACCTCGCTCATCCCAAGTCTCTGGAGTCCGACTCCGCCGCTACGAAGCAGGCCGACACCCGGAAGGGTTACGGCGAAAGGAACCCTCTCCTGTCGCTCGGTGCCGCGTTTCAGATAATAAAAGCGGCACCAGGTGTCACTGCTGCTCGCTTACTCATTCGCAATTTGTTCGCCGCATCGGTCCCCCGCGCTGAAAAATCTCTAAGTACTATAGCAAGTAACTGCATTTCCGAAAGCAATATCTTCACTTAGGGAGTGATGAAATGGAATTAAGAAACAAGAGGCGGTATCAGGGCCCTGAAGTCAGCTACTCTCATTTCGTTTCTGCCTCGGCCTTCCTCTCTCGAATGATTACACCAAGATAATCCAATTCGGGGAGAGGGACTTGAGATGGAGATGAAGACGGGTCCGCTTCTTTCGGTCCCCTCATCCCTCGATCGGCGCGGAAACGCGTCCGAGGAGTCCGTCGCTACCTGAGAGACATCTGGCGTCCCAGCGGCGAAGTTCTCCACCCGCCACCTCTCCCCGGCTGTTCTAAACGCCCGCTTCATCGTCGGCGGCGAATGACCTCGCAGGATGTCCCAGGGACCTCCCACACGGCCCCGCCGTTTTTTTAAAGCTCTTCTTAACCCTTTCAAAGCTGAATAACTTGGGAAATTTATTTATTTATTTATTTTTTATATTTATATATTTATTTTCCTTCAAAATTTTCTTTTCACAAACTTGTTTTTGATATGCCCGACAGCCTTTCTCGCACAAACAGTACAATTTAAGTCTCATTTTTCAAATATGGTAATGCAATAGCAGTCTCATAACCAATTTATTAATAATGATGATACGCCGTGAAATTTAAAAAATGATTCCCATCCTTCAACTTCCGATTAATTCCGTGGAATTTAATTAAAATTCAGAACGAATTTAATTTGTAGGAGGCAATTCGTTTTATCTCAGCTCTGCGAGTAAAAAAATTCCTATAATTTCACGGAAGACACCGACGAATCTAATTACTTAATCTGACTAATATGAAGGATTACCGATTAGGATTACCTTCCGTTCACAATTTTCGTGGTCATGGAGCCCTGCACGGGCACGGAATCAGAATCGCCGCGCCCTTTCCACGGACGCTCGAGAAGCGACACCTAGCCCGCTTTCGAGAAAGAACTGGTTTCGCGTTATGCGTCCTAGGTGGCGCTGCATGCAGCGGCCGGTCGACGAATACGCAGGACTCGGTTACGGTGTTCTCTTGATTATCTTTTCTTTCGGTTCCCTTTTCTCAGAGGACAACCGGCTGAAATATTCCGCATTTCTGCGGACGCCGCGATCCGCGCGAATCGTCTCACTGCGGAAATCGCTAAAGGTGCATGACGCCAGGTGAAACCTGCGAGGTTTCACGCTTCACCCGGCTGAGATCGAGCCCACGCGGCCCTCAGCGAATCCCCCCTCGATTCCCCTCGATTCCCCGGAGAAAAGCCTTGAGAGACGCACCTTGGGCGACGGCGAGGCAGGGAAGAAGGAGGATCCCGAGCCACATGATGCACCACGAAAGCGGGCACGACAGAGCACGTGGCCGCCCTCCCCGCCACCTGCGAAATCAATCGTTGCCATGGTGACCACCAGGTGCCCCGTCCTCCCTCCGCCCTCCCTCCTCCCTCCCTCCTCCCTCCCCCGGCTCACGGTCACCTGGCCTCGCTCTGCCGACAGCTGCCGACAGGAATTCGCCCGCTTTTGGTTAATTGCTCACGATTAATAATTTTATTTACCGTCATCCAGCACAAAATCGAGTAAGAAGCGCGTGGGACCACTCGCAGTAAGAAGCGTGTGGGATCGCAAGCGGGAAAAATATTGCCTAAGGAAGCAAAATTCGCGCGTGATAACGCCATGAAACTATTTCAAAGTATCAATTGATAAGTATTAATAATGCGTATTATTAAGCAATTTATTTTCTGGCATTGAAAGCCGGGCAGATACACCATAGGGGGAGAAGGGAAATAACTCCTAATGAGCTATGTTATGACAGAAAAAAAATATATCAGCAGATGCTTTTGAATTAACTGTTCTTGACAATCATTTTCAGAAATTATTGATTTCTAACTGTGTCATGTGTGCCCTTCTAATAGTCAGGTGTTATTACGGCAGAATACGAATTTAAAAAATAATTATAATAAGGGGGGGAAGGGAGACGGGTAGTGCAAGAGTTCAGATCGTGGTAAGATATAATGACTGATATGAACTTGAACTTTGAACTTGAACTTGAACTTTCCTTTTAACGTGATTCTCGCAGTACTTACTGTAGAAGCATTCCCTGTGCATTTATGTTGCAATCTATCAACTGTATTGGCTCTGTGAATAGTTGAATACAGGGTTTAGGAAGTAGGGGGGTGTGCTTATTCAACCGCAAAATGAGGTAGTGAATTGCAAACTCGAATTAAGAGCTCTGGAATGAGATTTAATACTCTCAACTAGTTTACATAATTCGTGAGTTTCAGCGATTTTTGTACAGACTTTATTTCCCAATCTCCTTAACAGTTGGCAGGAAAGGCTCCCATAAAATTGTATGGGGTACTTGAGACGGAATTACCCACTATGAAAAAATGAAGAATAAAAACTTTTTTTTTAACGGATAAAATGCAGGAAAAATGCAGTGGTTATACTCGTACTACTTTATCAACCATTTCCATGTGAATTTATGAACATATTTTGGAACTCGCTCTGAAACGATCCCCACGACAAGATGTCCTTCGATTCATGCAAATCTATTCTAATCACTAAAAATATTGACTCATTTTTAGATCCTCCGACGATGGCCCTCGTGCTCCGGATACGTCCTGGTTGACGTGTGGAAGCACCAGAAGAACTACAAGGAAGCGGCCAACGTCGATAACGCCGAGCCCGAAAAATTCTACCGTGAGACGATGCGGGTGCTTTCACCGTGGAAGGAGAAGCTGGACGTGAAGCGGACGTGGACGAGCGAGGCCGTGAAGGAGATCGAGGACGAGAGCCTCGACTTCATATACGTGGACGCCCGCCACGATTTCTGCGGGGTCTACGAGGACGTGAGCCTCTACTGGCCCAAGCTCAGCCCGGGAGGCATCATGGCTGGGCACGATTACGTCGACTGGCAGACGCTGAACGCGTTGAACAAGCCGAACTGGGGCCTGTGTGCCAACGGGACATTCTTGAAGGCCTCCGTGAAGGAAGCCGTGGACCGGTTCGCGAGTGAGAACGGGCTTCAAGTGATCACCACCTTGGAGGAATGGCCGTCCTGGATCGTTCGCAAACCCTCCTCGGAATGCTGACACATCTGGAGACGTCACGGCCGCGTCCGCCTGGACTGGCTGGGGGGGGGGGGAGAAGATGGAGGTTAACAGAATTGGCGCTGACCTTGAATTGGCGCATTGCAAGGGAATCGTCATCGATTGAGAGAAAAGAAGACGAAGATTGTTTAAATCATGCGTATGGAACTCATCAGTTCACCGCGTGAAGAAATGATGATAACATTTGACGTCTCATCATTTTGTTGCTTTTTTTTTTGTTTTGTCTCTTTTGTCTTTCCTCCGGACGAATCTGTGATCGCCTCTATGGCGATCACAGATTCGGTCAATTCAAATGAAGTCTTTCTGATGCTGGTTCGACTTGCTTCTTTGTTCTGAAACAAATTGCGCGCTTGAATAAATAATTTATTGCGGAAAAGCTTCCACCCCGAAATACTTGCTCCGACCTACCAATTCCCTCGTTTTCGCGAAATTTTGGAAATAGGTCCCTTTTGCGTAGCGAGTAACGAGTGCCATTTGATAAACACCGCCCAGAGAAAAGAAACTGCCCTTGTGCTCCATGCATTCGCGGCGAACAGTGAGCGGCGGAACCTCTAAAGCTGCGTAAGGAAATAATTGAACTGTAGTCATGACATCTGGCAGTTTCTAGAATGAACGAAGTTTTCACGAATAAGAGACAGATGGCGAAGAAATCGCTGCTGGAGCGATTCTTCCCGGCGAAAGGGAAGACTCATCAAAAATAAAAATTGTAACAGCGATGCACTATTATTATTCGGCTTAGCTGAAATTTGCACTCGTGCTCGGGGCTGTTTATCGCCTCCGAATCTTGTTGGAAAGAGACTGCGAGTTGTGCATCATCTGCGGTTTCCAATATTTTACTAAATGTTGCTAACTGTGAAGGCCTGCAGTTTCTCACGTGGAGTAAGACCTTCAAGAGAGTGAATATTCTAGAGACTGCGCGAAAGCGGCTTAAAATCTAGGGAAAATGTACGAATCGCTGACGGATGCAACGTACGCGGCTTTGCGGTCCGAGGTCTTGCAACATCCTCGACGCGAGGTAGGACCGCTACACCCGGCCGCACGGGAGCGAATGAGTGCGGTCGGGGCTGGGGAACAGGGCTGCTGCTTCGTCGATGGGACGTCGGACATGTGCAACTGATTTCCTGGCTCCTTTGTCATACAGATATTGACCCTATAAAATATTTATGTTGAAACGAAATTTTTGGTTCATTTTAAGTTCACTCCGTCCAAAATTTTCCTGATAAAAAAGCCAGGAAAAGAATAAATACTCTGGCAACCGTGTTTTGATGGCGGCCTTCATGTTCCTCCCACGCCTTGATCGTCGAATGGGGCCGGTCTCAAAAACCGAGAGAGTTCGAGGGCGTGTCGTCTGTTGAGCGGAGGTCAGTCTCTCTTCGGCCATGTGTTGCCTTTGATCTGAAAGGTCAACATTGGCCTCGGCCTTTTGCTCAATTTTGTTTTTCGTTGGGGAAAAAAAATTCATCGATTTCCAGTTTTGCACCATTTTTTCCGTGAAATGTTGGCATTTTCCCGTTTTCCTTTAGTGGGTACCTCGTTTAATTCCTTTTCGCTGCCTAGCTCTAACGTCAGGTTTAGGCCTAGTGCGTCCCTTGCAAGTGCTGACTTGGGTGGAGGCTGCGAAATCACAGTAGGCTAAGCAGGTGGGAGGCGTATCGTAGAAATGTTTCCTGCATAATATATCTGAATTTAATGTCTCCTTGGATCACCTCCTGTTCAACACCCTCCCAGACATGGAATCTGACGTTTCTTTTATGTAACTGCAAATATCAGCATGTCTTTTAGCGAACAACTATTTATTTTGTAGTGTCTAGATAATGTTGCATGAGGCCTTCGCCTGTGCCTATGAAATCAGAAAAAATTAAGTTTCATGGGAGATGTAAAGAAATAACTTAAACCATTCAGCCTTATTGGCAGTCTACTGCCTTATTTTGACATACATTGTAATTTCTTAAGGTCTACTCTGTCTCATCTATGTTTAAGGCCTCTATCTCAGCTCTTCTTTTTTTAACTTATTCTTGTCTTTGCATTTTATCCCTACTTAAGCCTCATTTGTGATAAGCTGCACACTTGAGAATTTTTACGTGTTGCTTTTCTTATTTTTTTAAGTGTTTCCGTGTCGTGCTTTATCACGAGATTAATTGGCAATACGAAAAACTGAACCATGTGGCGTAGTGGAGAAACTCATTGACAGTTCTCTAGACCTCAGTGCTTAACTTACTCATAAGCTTTGGTCAGAAATTATTGCACTGTAATCCCATATTTGTTATCAATTGATTTCTGTCTATCCCAGGAGAGAGAATTTTAGCATCTTTCTGTCATGAATGAGATTGGCCTAACTGTGGACCAAAGTGTACTTGTGTGGCTATTAGACCTGTTGTAGCTGTAGTTGAAAAAGTAAGAACTGAAGAAAATCACTTTGAATTGTTCAACGTAGCCCTCATTTTATATGATGGAAACAAATACAGATTCACAGTTAACTTACAAGATGAAACTTGCCGTCTACTTTGCGGTCTTGCTACAATTAATGTGAGTGTGTCTTAATGTAGATGGGCCTTTTAACTATTTAATCTCAGCCAGTGTCTGTGTTTCTTTAAGAGTATTGTAGACTGTTTGCCTTGACCTAGGATGATAATGTGATGGTTTGTTGCAATTTCCAGACCCCAAAACAGTTAAACTTGATGGACCTCACAATCGCAATGAGCTGTGATGTCTGAACCACAAAGGATAAAGTCCCTATGACCTCATCTACTCTAGTGTTGGGTAAGTCAAACCCAATACTCTGATATTGTGGCCCATCTGGGTTTTCTTCTCAGTAAGGATGGGCTTGATGTTGGTCATGTATGTCAATGATGATGTTGCCATAAGGCATTGATCTGCTCATGCAAATGTTGAATTGTTCTCTTTTGGGCAGGCTGATGCACTCCCCAAGGTTGCTGGACTGAAAAAAGCAGAGAATCAGTGAGTCTACATCTCTCTTCTACAATAATTTACATTGTGCTTACAGTTTCTGAAGCTCACAAAGCATGATAATGATCTTCGAGTTCATTAATGTGTGATTTGGCACTGTTGCAAAGGAGCTGCAGTGAATGACAAAGTTATAGATATTTATCATTATTCAGAAAGCATATTGTCATTTTATTTTCTGCTTATCCTGAAGAAAAATCCAATGTTTCGGTGCTTCTCACTCATGCTTACTGCAAATGTCATAATATGATGGTATAAGATGCGTAGCACTTCTGGCATTCAACATTGATCACAGGTGACAACAGCACATGTGGCCATTTCTTGTTGCCTGGCAAGTGATAAGAGACCTTGAGGACCTGTGGCACATTTCAGTGTTACATTCTGCTTAATGGCAACTGCTGGTGACTGGTGCCCTGTGAATTATGATGCACCTAAGTTGGTTTTTGTGTTCTGTCTTTCTCATAATTGTATTTATTCCCAAAGGAAATAATTTCCAGAGATACTGCAAGTAATTGCATCCTATGATTTTCAATAACTTCTGGGTGACCTTGATGAAGGGAATGTTGATGGTAGGAGTTCCAGTCCTTTTTGAAATTGCTCACTTGCCATTCTGATTTCATATATGGAAGCTGAAAACTATCATGACCATTCTCGCCTTGCATATCCTTGTGATTTGGCCATTTTAGATGGCCTTTATAGGGAAGTTAGTGTTAAATCCGAAAATGAGAAATTGAATTTGAGCAATTGTCTTTTCTTCAGTTTGTTAAAGATGTTTCATGTCTTATTGTAGTTTTATAATTATTTTTTATAATTAAGTTTTTCTCACTTGAAAGGATGTAAAATATAGTGTCAAGTGCAAAATTGCTCATAGTGAAGGGACTGTACAAAGTGCAATGCCGGTTAGTACCATGCCTACGATCATCAAATTTTACAAAGGCATTTCCTCCAGGAATGCATTTTGAATCAGCTTCTTTTTTCAGATTCCCATTAGTAAGCAAGATCAATTCAGCCTCAACTAAGTGGTTACTTCTCATCAGTAATCAAAAGGGATACTTTAACTCCAGATCACCTCAGTGTCTGTACTGAAGATTGACACTAGATTATTATGGCTTTGCAAGGTTGTATTCAAAGTGGTGCCCTCATGATTCTGAAGGTAATGGAAAATGAAAGTTGTGTCTATCATTTGTGTGCTTATCTGTTTTCTGTTTTTCATCCTTGGTATGTTGATGCACCAAAAGCAATATAACCCATTTGTCAGTGCATGAAGTATATTTTGCAATATTTCTTATTGCAGATTTCCAATTTTTCTGACCTGTACACCATGCATGTGTCAGGTTGGTTGCTGTCTGCAGTCTTTCAAGAGCTTCAGAACTGAGGGGTCATAAAAGGAACCGAAGACTTATCCAACTCATTATCTCCAGTTTTGATGCTATTGTACGGGAGATGATGGAGAAGCACGAGAACACCAACCGGGAAATGATTGCCGAGTGGGCGGATTTCGACCGTGACAGAATGGATGGGTGTGGGGGTATCAAACAGGAGGCAGTCATCAAGAATGAGGATATCAACCAGGAAACGGAGGTCCAGGTGGGATATCGGGTGCAATGTGCGGACTTCTTCGGGATCGTAAAATACATCGGGCCTGTGGAAGGGATGCATGGCATGTGGATAGGTGTGGAATGGGACGATCCAAGTCGTGGGAAGCACGATGGGTCGTATTGTGGCACGAGGTACTTCAAGACCTTGCACCCATCATCTGGATCCTTTGTGCGAGCAACAAAACTGGCAAAGCCACGCAGTGCTGAGGAGGCCATTCATCTTCAATATTGTCCAGATGAGGAGCTTAAGCTCTTCACTCGTCAGGAATTTGGTGCTCGATTTCTTGAGTTTGTTGGCATGGACAAGGTTGCCAAGAAGCAGAAGAACCTGGAACAGCTCCGTATTGCCGACTTATCCGGGTTGCAGGTCTCGCACGGGAAGCTGAGCCCCATCGTGCCGCGATTGCGGGAGCTAAACCTTTCGTTGAACCTGTTTAGATCTTGGGACCAGGTGGTGCAAGTGGTCGAGGATCTGCAGCATCTCAGCACTCTCATCCTGAGTGGAAACAGACTGCAGACTCCTCAGGTAACTCTGTCGGACTTTGAGGTGTGCCTCCCGTTGTCACTTGTGACCCTCGTGATGAGTGGTTGTGATCTCACCTGGACCGACGTCCTGTTCGTCGGGAAGATGTGCCCCAACTTGAAGTCGCTTCAGATCCCAAATAATAACATCATCTACATGGATATGGTCCAGGATATGGACCTCAATTCTCTTTTCCCTCACCTTGAAGATTTGAATTTGGAAGGTAATGAGTTAAAAGACGAGCATCTGTTTGCACGGCTGGGCGGTCTCGAACGTCTGACTTCGTTGAATCTCTCACGAACACAGATACAGGACCTGCCTATAGCTCCTCCCATGTTCCAGTCCTTGAAGTTCCTTTGTCTGGCTAAGAATAACATTTCAACATGGGAAAGCATCGACAAACTTTGTGAACTTAAAAATCTGGAGAGCTTGGTTTTTTATGGCAATCCAGTTTGCCAGCTGCAGAGCGAAGAAAATACCCGCCAGGAGATCATCGCCCGCATATCGAGCCTGACTTCCCTTAATAGGTCCGAGATCCCAAAGAAAGAGCGTGCTGGTGCCGAAATCGACTACCTGAAGAGGTATGGAAAGCTCTGGTTCGGCGACAGGGAACATCTTCTCCGACTCCATCCGACCTATCGCCGCCTGGTGGAAGCCTACGGCCCGCCCGAGGAGAGCGAGCTGAGCTCGAGGCAGCACCGGGTACGAGACACCCTGGTCACGCTGCGCATCGTCACCCCCCTGCATCCCCCCGACCGTCCCGTGACGAAACGCGTCCCCGTGACCATGACCGTCCAAAGCCTGAGGAACCTGGTCGGTCGGCTGGTGAGGCGCCCGGCGTACGCCCTCACCCTGGTCCTCCAGAGCTCCCATAACCCAAATGTGAAGGAGAAACTGGATAAGGATCAGGAGGAGCTCGACTTCTACAGCGTAGAGTCTGACGATTTCCTCATTGTGAGTTGGTGATCCTTGCTTAGTGCCTGTGATTTGTAATGATCTTATGAGTGAGAAGCACTTCGAGTGCATTTTTCCTGCTTGTGAACTACCACTATCTGCTTATGAAGTGAGTGCTCCTTGCCTCATGAGTTCACTCAATTTCATTGTTACTTTAGGAGCAAGTTGATTTGAAAGAGCTTAATGTCTTTCCGGTGAGTACTAAATTATCCTAGTCCCTGATTTTAAAAGTGCTTAATATTGCTTCTGGGCCATTCTTGGCATGAAATACAAAATGCAGGTGATGCCTTGTTGCATGTCAGTTCTTTTTCCTGTGTCTGCTGCAGCAAAACTCTCATTCTTTCCCACAAATCAGGACGAACGAGCCAAAACTTTGCGCATTATTTGAAAATTAGTATGCGAGAATAGAAACGATTGAATTGGTTTCGACGCATGACGCTGATTTTCCCTGACAAACCCATTCGCAACTCGCCAATGACACTTCCGTTTCGCAACGATCATTCTTCCGCTCAGAATTTTGTGACGCTTGAGAGTTGCAGCTGGTCCTGAATTTATCTGCCTTCATTAGAATTAGCGAGAAAGAGGACTAAAACTCTGGGATACCCCTGGCGAAACGAATCACAGCCAAAATTTGCACAATGTCGAGTCGGTCCACATTCTCAAGACGAGCAGAAAGATTTCCACGACTTCTTATCGTGCTGCAGCACAGCAGGATGCGTGGAATGTGCAACTTACACCCACCCTGATCAATTTCGCTTTTTTTTTCTTCCTGAACATCCGCTGGGCTTACTCGCTTTCCGATCTCTCGGGTTCCACATCTTTAAAAATAGATTCCTTTGTGAGCGGAAGGCCTTCACCAAAGCTTCAAATCAGCTGCCTCTCTCTCTCTCTCCCTCTCTCTCTCTCTCTCTCTCTCTCTCTCTCTCTCGTACGGAAGCGTTCTCTTGTGAGTGAGGGGCGAACCAGTGGTTGGCGACCACGTCCCTAGGTGTCACTGGCTGCAGAGGGAGCCGGCACTGGACAATGGAATGGCGGTTCTCGCTTTCACTCATTGATTTATTGCCCCGCTCATAAATATCCCGTGATGTTTTCCCGCTTGCGTTCCCATCGATGCGGGACGGGGGGCGAACAATGACGAACATTTTCTCCCCCTTTTTTCACTCCCATTTCCCGCTGCAATTTCCCCTATGACCTTGAACTGTGAGGAATTGTGACGTGAGAAGAATGTCCGTCATTAACACACCCGCAGATTGTACTCGAACATATTTATTAAGTTACACTGCATTTTTTTTTTTACTATCGACAGGGCAAAACCGGCGCGACAGAACAATAGGATACAACCACATTCGGCGAAACGCCGGACCACGAATCGAATATGCTCATAAATAGGCAATAAATACAAGGAGGTGGCAGGCCCGCCCTCCAGTGCAAGCGGTGCCTTCGCAGTGGGAACGCGACGGCGGCGTCCGGGGATCGCTGGGAGTTGTAACTCGTTGCACTCGAGTTATAGCTTGTTGCACTCGAGTTGTAGCTTGTTGCACTCGGGTTCTAACCCGTGCCGCGGGAAAAGCGATCCGGCGGCGCGGAAGGAGAAGAAGCGGGAAAAAAAAAATTCCTTCTCTTCGTCTTCACAACCAGAGAAAAAAAAAGGCGAGTGAAGTCCCTCATATATATATGTACACGCTGACTTAGCTGCACTCATCCAGGCTGCGGCTCCTCGCCGTGAGACCACGAATCTCGTCGGACAAAAAAAAAAAAACTCGTAGCACCAAATTCGCGACTACGCTGCGATAAATAAAAATGGCGGATCACATTGCGAATGTGGGCTATCACAGAGACGGAAATCGCTCGTCCTCGGCGGGCTCCTGCTTGATGTAGATGTCGAGCCCGTCCTCGAGCCCGTCCTCCGTCTTGATGTGGACCTCGGGCTCCATCTTCACGGCGAGGACGTCGAGGGCCAGCTTCCGGGAAAATATCTTGCTCCAGCGGTCCTAAGGGAGAAACGGCCGTTTCCGATTGTGGTCGCTAGATGTCACTAGTGCGGCCGCGGTTTCATGTTTTTTTTTTTTTTACCTTTATGTTATAGTGGAAGAGGTTGTTGTTCCCGCGTTCCTTCTCGATCCCTAGCTTGCACAGGCATCGCCCTATGCAGTTTCGGCAGCAGCCTCGACAAGATCGCCGAACCCTGGTAACAAAAAAAAAAATTCAGCGTTTAATATTATTTATTTTGATATTCCGCGCAGCAGGCGACGACATCCCCTCAACCACGCGTTATTTTTATTTTTTTTATTTTTTCGTTCCGCCAGCGAGTCACACGTCGAAGCCATATGACTCCAATCTTTTTTTTTTTTAAA